AGTGAGGATATTATAACGTGCTTGATTAGGCCGCCACACTCTTTTCTCATGTTTTCTTCACTTCTCAGGGAGATCTTTTACTACAACGAACATATTTGATATATATTTTTTTTTTTCTATGTACATCATTTATGAAGAAAAACGCTTGATATAGTTATTTGAATGAACTTTTTACCCACTTTTCTTTCTAACGCCATCTATGGTCAATAATTCATACGCATTTTGTCTGGAAACGTTTCTTTAATGACGATATTCTCTTCCACGAGGACTTCTTGCCTAAGATCGTTGCGCACATCCCAGCCGGTACTTCCGTTCACACCGTCTCTCACTTCGGGCAACTCATGACTTCAGGCACGTCAATAAAAAGGAAACAGCCACAATAAGTAATGAAATTGATTAGATTTAATTTCTTGTGGTTATTTCCTTTTTTAAATTTTTATTTGTGTTTATGTTTTTCATGAATTATATTTCGTCGCATTAGACTTCCCACGGTGGATCACGATGATGCCGATACTGGTGGGTTCCCATAAGTAGGGTTTTTGCCGTGGAACCTCCCGCCTTGCCTCCCATACCCTATAGACTTAGCCATGATAGTAGAGGAGAGCTTGGAGGATACCAGGGAAATTGCAGGGGGAATATGCCCCCCCCATCCCACCCAAAAAACAAAGAATCTTGCAAGCATTCACGGCATAATGGAAACTACGGTCAATCTCAAATAGGGGGTATACTAACCTTTAAGATAGTGATGGCTATTTATAGTGTAGTGCAGGGGGTACAGTCCTATATATCGACAGACACACACACACTACTTGGAAACGCTACCAGAGTGCGTAGGTTCCGAGACCTGATAGCGTCTTCAACATCAGGGGAAGCGGCGATGGAACCAGGAATGGAGAGAAACATGTCAACCATGCAAAGAACACCAGTAACAGAAAATAGGTACCACGTAGTACCACGTGTAATTCAGTATTGTTTACACAACAGGAATGACACGGAGCCTTTAGACGTTGAGATGGCTCAAATGTGAGAGGTGCTTGGGTCGCTTTGAGAATTTTTGCACATCAGGCTTCACTTGAGTTTTGCTAGACATGGGTTTCTACACCGAGAAAAGGTCCTTCTCACAGGTTAAGGTAAGCCCCTCCCTGAGGTTGGTCGTAGGCTCCAGCGTGTCGCGAGTACGTGGATGACTCTTAGCGGTCCAGAAAGGGAGTTTGGGGGCGACAGCTTTCCAGTGGTAGAGGGAGGTCATACCGGGCGCACTCCCCGGTGAATTGTATCCTACCCTTTTTGCAACGCTCATTTTCATACATATCCCACTCTGCAATTCCCCTGGTACCCTCCATACCCTCCCCTGCTGTTGGTGCCAAGATTACGGGGTATGGGGGGGGGGAGTCCACGGTAAAACTCCCAACTATGTGAGCAGCAGATTTCGAGAGCAACCCATTGGCACCAGTGTTGTCGTGATCCGTCGAGGGCGTGTTCTAAACAATTAGCCGCCAAATTGCATTGTTTCACGTAATGAATATCGAATCAGATTTTTTTTCTCTCACTGCCTGCCTCCGCCTTGTTTCTTACTCTTACCCTTCCTCTCCTTTTCTGCTTTCTTTCTACATATCAGTCTATCTGTATGTAATGAGACTATTTCCTGTACATAACTCCCCTCTCTCTCTTCCCATCTATCTCTCTTATCTAGCTGTCTACCTCTCAATCTACCTTGCTATCTACCTCTTAATCTACTTAGCTGTCTACCTCTCAATTTACCTTGCTGTCTACCTCTCAATCTACTTAGCTGTCTACCTCTCAATCTACCTAGCTGTCTACCTGCTGCTTCTACCTCTCAATCTACCTTGCTATCTACCTCTTAATCTACTTAGCTGTTTACCTCTCAATTTACCTTGCTGTCTACAATCTACTTAGCTGACTACCTCTCAATCTACCTAGCTGTCTACCTCTTAATCTACTTAGCTGTCTATCTCTCAATTTACCTTGCTGTCTACCTCTCAATCTACTTAGCTGTCTACCTCTCAATCTACCTAGCTGTCTACCTCTTAATCTACTTAGCTGTCTACCTCTCAATTTACCTTGCTGTCTACCTCTTAATCTACTTAGCTGTCTACCTCTCAATCTACCTAGCTGTCTACCTCTTAATCTACTTAGCTGTACCTCTTTACCTTGCTGTCTACCTCTCAATCTACCTTGCTATCTACCTCTTAATCTACTTAGCTGTTTACCTCTCAATTTACCTTGCTGTCTACCTCTTAGTCTACTTAGCTGTCTACCTCTCAATCTACCTCGCTGTCTAGCTTTTAATCTACTTAGCTGTCTACCTCTCAATTTACCTTGCTGTCTACCTCTCAATCTACTTAGCTGTCTACCTCTCAGTCTACCTTGCTATCTACCTCTCAGTCTACCTTGCTGTCTACCTCTCAATCTACCTCGCTGTCTACCTCTTAATCTACCTTGCTGTCTACCTCTCAATCTACCTTGCTGTCTACCTCTC